GATGAGTGGTTGCTTTTTTAATTTTAGGGCATGGCTATCTTAGGGAACTGTTTTCATATACATTTTCTCTGTGATGCTACTCATTTTGAAATTCTGTAATTTGATATTCACTGACATGAGCTTTCATATTAAAATTTCCCATCTTCTGTTTCATGCTTCTGGGTTGTTTTGGGTATTTGGAAACCCATTCCTTAGAAGCTTATACTGAAACCACAGATTTGGTGGAAATAATACTGGTGATCAAAGAGCAACAACATTGTGTATCTTTTGATCATACTGTGCAAATAATTATTTTCAAACTAGCCAGTAACTTCTCTGGGTACTTCAGACAAATGAAGTTTTAATTAATTAAAAGTTCCTGGAACTTTAACATTAGATTAATTGCTGCAATACTTATGGAAGATCTAGCAATCATTCTCATTTATTTTAATTCACTTATTCATTCAGTAAATATTTAGTGCACATCAACTCCTCATTCTTTTTTTTTTTAAAGATGTATTTATTTATTTGAAAGGCAGAGTTACAGAGAGCAGAGGCAAGGAGAGAGAGAAAGAGGGAGGTCTTCTATCTGCTGGTTCACTCCCCAGATGGCCAGAATGGCCGGAGCTGTGCAGATGGGAAGCCAGGAGCCAGCAGCTTCTTCCAGGTCGCCCACGCAGGTGCAGAGGCCCAAGCACCTGGGCCACCTTTTACAGCTTACCAAGGGCATAGTAGAGAGCTGGATCGGAAGTAGAGAAGCCAGGCCTAGAACCAGTGCCCATTTGGGATGCCGGCATTGCAGGCAGCAACTTTACCCACTATGCTACAGCGCAGGCCCCCACTCCTCAAGTTCTATGTGAAGTACTTGGAGTATTTTTTAATATAATGGCCATTTATATTAAAACATAATATCAGTAAAATACATGGTGGGAACAACCCAGAAGGGTGGACCTAAACACTGTTGCAGATCAAAAAATACTTTCGGAAGACATAATAGCTGCATTTTGAAAAATTAAGTAGCTGTTGCTCCAAATGGACTGGTGAGGATGGGAAGAGAAAATTTCAGCTACAACCAAATCAACTCATTCTGCCTTATCATTAATCACCAATATTTACATTCTCCAATGAGTATTTCTTTTCTTTTCTTTTCTTTTTTTGACAGGCAGAGTGGACAGTGAGAGAGAGAGAGAGAAAGGTCTTCCTTTACCGTTGGTTCACCCTCCAATGGCCGCTGCGGCTGGCGTGCTGTGGCCGTTGCACCACACTGATCTGAAGCCAGGAGCCAGGTGCTTCTCCTGGTCTCCCATGCGGGTGCAGGGCCCAAGCACTTGGGCCATCCTTCACTGCCCTCCCAGGCCACAGCAGAGAGCTGGACTGGAAGAGGGGCAACCAGGACAGAATCCGGCGCCCCAACCGGGACTAGAACCCGGTGTGTTGGTGCCGCAGGCGGAGGATTAGCCTATTGAGCCGCGGTGCCAGCCATGAGTATTTCTATTAGGTATCATATCTACATTCTCCCATGAGTATCTCCATAATAATTCCATACAGCCATACTTTACTTTTAGCTCTCTGGAGGAAATGTGATTTCCTAAGAGTGTTTGTATGTATTTATTTATTTATTTGACAGGCAGAGTGGACAGTGAGAGAGAGACAGAGAGAGAAAGGTCTTCCTTTTGCCATTGGTTCACCCTCCAATGACCACTGCGGCCGGCGCACCGCGCTGATCCGAAGGCAGGTGCTTCTCCTGGTCTCCCATGGGGTACAGGGCCCAAGGACTTGGGCCATCCTCCACTGCACTCCCTGGCCACAGCAGAGAGCTGGCCTGGAAGAGGGGCAACTGGGACAGAATCCGGCACCCCGACCGGGACTAGAACCTGGTGTGCCGGCGCCGCAAGGTGGAGGATTAGCCTAGTGAGCCTCGGCGTCGGCCCTAAGAGTGTTTTTAAAATAAAGGGAAAAACAGTAAGAGTCCAAAGGTGATATTCAGTCCTAGTATTGAATATAATATGAGGTAGGATGGTGAGCAGAAAATAGGGGTTTCAATGGCCACCTCCTCGATTCCCATGGAAACAACTTAGTGTAACAGAATATATGTGGAAGGCTAACTTGAAAATCTTTCTTATAAGAAGCCTTATCCCAACAAAGTAAGTGAGAAGACGTTAGTGAAACTCAACTGACAATGCATTAGTCAGTTGGATGGAAGACAGAGCAGGCAAAGGTGGAACTCACTGCATTATGATGTGGATTGTCACCCAGAGAAGCTTCCTACAACTGTGGGTGAGTCTCATGTTTGTATTTGGAAGGATGAGCTATAATAAACTGAATGGTAGCATTGTCGGAGAGAGGGACATTGCTCTTGCCAGCTACTGCTGTAGCTTATCCCTGGCACTAGACTAACTGAACAAATCGGTTACCCTGAGAGCTGGAACACACCGTGGCAATTCAGTAAACACAGAGAATAAATGACACAGAGACTCAGATCTTTGCTGGGGCTGCACAAGGTTTTTAGCTTCTGCTCCACTTCCTCGGGCTGCTGCATTGTAAACTGGTAATGATAATTTACAGTAGATTTATATTTTCCCTTTCCCTATTGTGTGAACATGAAAGAATTGGGCAGAATTCCACATCAGTCTTTGACAGACCCCATTTTAATATTGAATTCAGCTACACGCCAGTGGATCTCTTGCTATCAGGATAAGCAAGCAAAAATGTTATATACCAGACCTGGAAGAAAATAGTTCAGTTCCAACCTTTGTTTTCATCACATTAAAGAAGAGAGATTATCAGTAGTTTACATTTACCCTTAGTAGAGTGTTGGGACTTTTCTCATCTTTCCATGGTGGGATTTGATGATTGTTTGATATATTCTGCATCATAGCCATAGAAGATTCTGTTTCTTTACAGGTTGATGGAAAACTGAACTGGTGGGATCTGGAAAAACAGATTTGATTCACAGCAAGAGAGAGAGAGAGAGAGAGGCTTAACAAGCATTAGGATCAAATTTCAACATTCCTGAACCCAGTGGGATAATTGTATAGAGCTACCTCTGAAATTTACAGACCTGTTTGGAAATGGGGCAGGTAGACCAGAAGAAATAACCACTTATGTGTTATCAAAAATAAACATTCCTAAATAGGAAAAACTTCAAAACCAGGAATCAAAAAAGATTTACCTAATGACAATAAAATAAAACTATCTATATACTTCCTTGGTGAAAATTTTACAAAGTTAAGTTCTAGGCGCATATAGATTAAAAATAACAAGTGATCCTAGGACAGTAATCAGGTTGGTGTCAGAAAGTAATGAAAAGTAGTGAGAGAATTAAAAGAAAAACTTGAGACCCAAGAATTCTACACAGGCATCTGGTATGTATATGAAGGAAACAGAGATGCTCTCTTGGATATTTAAAGATTATGCAATTGAGTAATTCTTATGTGTCTCCTAAAAATATTCTTCAAAATTTTACTCTCAAGTAAACCAACAGTATGTCAAGGAAGAGTATTTAGAAATGAGAAAGTTATGGAATCATGTCAGTCAGCATTGAAATCAGATAAACATAGATTCAAGCTTAAATAGGTGGAGTAAATATAGCTAAAAAACCAATATAGAAAATTCCTAGAAGAGAAAGAATGGAAATATATAAAAAGGTTTAACAAACTGTTTCTAGTATGATGGTGTATATATGATTTTCCTTATTTATTCTGTTAAGTAAAACTAAAACCCAAGGACTTTACATATTTAAAAACAACTATAAGAAGACTCTGACAGTGGCGAGAGTGTAACCTGGCTGGAGACCTTGAAACCCAGAATCAACAACGAGTGAGTCCCCTGGGATTTCTTTCAGACTCATACATCTCTGACTTGGAGCTGAAGAAAATGGGAACCCAGGAATGCATGTAGGTATGGACAAAGAGAAGCTTTGACAAAACCCTGTGTCTATAACAACAACAGCTTTACTCCAGGTAGATACCATAGGAGACACTATGATCTAGCATAACCTGTTGCTTCACATCTGAGGAGAAGGTCCACGTGCTTCCCCACCTTGGTGGCTCTGTCAGGTTTTCCTAGAACAGACCTTGAATATGGAAACCCTCATCCAGACCACTTCGCAGTTCTGTCAGCTCTCCATTCCCTAAGAAACTTCAACTTGTGATACATTCCTTCATTCCCTCTTGATGCATATGTGATGTTATAAGGGTCCATCTCTGAAACACTTTTGGGTGAAGAATGGTTGATTGGAATGTATGAAATCTATTGTTTTTATATCAATAAAAAATTTTAAAGCTGTTTGAGTTAAAATGTTTAATGTTTATTCCAATTAAGCTTTCATGTTGCTCATAATATCCATTTATTACCTTTTAAAAGGTCTTCAGAAACTGTGGCTATGTGTCCATATTTATTTTAGTTATTGTTTATCATTGTCTTTTTTTTTTTGATAGGCAAAGTTAGAGAGAGAGAGAGAGAGAGAGAAAGGTCTTCCTTCTGTTGGTTCACCCCCCAAATGACCACTACAGCCGGCACGCTGTGCCCATCTGAAGACAGGAGCCAGGTGCTTCTCCTGGTCTCCCATGGGGTGCAGGGTCCAAGCACTTGGGCCATCCTCCACTGCCTTCCCGGGCTACAGCAGAGAGCTGGACTGGAAGAGGGGCAACCAGGACAGAATCTGGCACCCCGACCGGGACTAGAACCCAGGGTGCTGGCACCGCAGGCGGAGGATTAGCCAAGTGAGCCGTGGCATCGGCCTATCATTGTCTTCTTTTTTTTTTTTTTCTGGAAAATCTTGCCAGCATTATTTAAATTACCTGTTCAGTGTTTACTTTTTAATCTTCCTTTTTTTGATCTGTATCCTCTACATCTTCTAATCTCCTTTTTCACTTTCCATCTCTTCGTAACTCTGTTGAATTCTGGATAATTTATCAAAATATAATTTACAGATTTATGTTGCTCTGTTTTGCTATGTTTATTTTGTTATTAAATCATCAGTATGATTTTAAAATTTTAGTTAATACATTCTTCTATTTTGTTCTGATTAAATTTCCTTGCTGTATATGTTTTAAAACTTTTGTACACATATTAAACATTGTTTACATTGACTAGATTTTTATTACAGTATCTAAAGTACTTACAGCTTTATCCTGTTGTCTCTCATTTCTGCCGTTTCTCATCTATGGGGGTGTTTCCATATGTATATGGTTATTTTTCACTAGGACCTTCTCAGTTTCCTTGGACTTTACTGTTTGAGAGTTCTTTAGGCTAAGATCAGGATTATAATAAAATTATCTAACAGCTACTAGAGTATTATCTTTATGAAATAATAAAACAGATGCTAGTTCCAACAAGGTTGATATTAAAAGTGTTTAACAACTGGTATGGCATGGATACAGAACATCTAAAGAGATGCTGGCTCAATCAGGATAATTGCTAAGTGTAAAATAAAATCCATATGAGTGTACTTGCCTGTGCTAGAAAAGCAACAGCATTTTCTGGAATGAAGTAAGTTCCTCCAGAGTGAGTTTGCATTTGGTTAATATTTAGATGCCTGGGGACACTTAATGTTCAAGATCACTTTAAATTATAATTTGCCTATAGATGTTCTGGGATCTAAAGTCATATGAGTTTTGGCTGCATACTCTCCCAGTTGCCATCTTTGGGTTCTAAGTGACCTGTGGTCTCACTCCCGTCCAACCTTCTACTGTGTTCATAATTTGTGATTAATTGGTTCTCTGTGTGAGTTCTGGCAGAGAATAGATGATTTCTGGTTAAATCTTACTTTAGGACCTGTTGGAGCCTCAGCTTTGAAGGAGAAAGTTCTATTAGACTTTTTGATTCCTGTACCACTGGAGTCCTAGAAGATTTAGGTACTGTAGTGTCAGTTTACCTTTTGTAAAGGGCCATAAAGCAAAAGCCAGCTACAGAGGAGGACTCCAACAACTCTACATACATTTTCAAAAATGTATCCAAAATTATTTATTGTTTTTAACCTGTTGGAGACTAACCTCATTATTTTTTCTTCCTATTATTGGAAATGAAATTCCTGTGATAATATTTTCGTAATGCAAAGCTAGTTGACATATATTGATTGGCACTGATACCAGAGTCTTTTTGGACAGGACTTAATCTACAAAGTTAAATAGAGGAGTTATGCTTGTTTAATTTGGTGTTCATAGCAATAATGACAAAAATAGCAAAAAGAAAACTAAAGGGTTTTGTTTTCTAGGAAATAAAATGTATAGTTTCCTTCTAAATTAGATGTATTTTTTATTGTTTCTGACCAGTACATATGGTTGTAAAACTAGTAGGCTGTGGGGAGCAACTCGGACTAGACTAAGTTACTCGAATTAAGACTTATTCTATGCATCTGCTCTCCCACAATATGGCGCTGGGAGAGGAGTAAACAGCTTCTACTCAGCTACCTCTCGCCAACTTGAGTGATGACCTGCAGGAGCTGATCCTGCTCCTGATTGGAGGAGAGCAGCGTACTCGGCGTGTGGGTAGCAGAGTTGGGATTGGTGGAAGAGGACTATAAAGGAGGAGAGAGACAACATGCACCAGGAATACCTGAGGAACATCTGAGCAGCCCCCGAGAGAGCTGGCTGGTGGTGTGCCGCTCCCCCGCGGAAGTGTGGAAAGTGGCAGGGGGAACCACCCTTCCACGGAGGTGGAAGGGTCGGTAGCCAACCCGGGAAGAACCAGCAGCAAACCCGGGGAGGGCCGAGCAGACAAAAGAGCAGCGCAGGGTCCTGTGTCGTTCCTCCGCGAAGAGGGGGAGCGACAGTAGGCATTTTTAAAAAGAGTTAAAGCACTTATCTTAAATGTAAATGATCATAGTTGGAATTGATGGATTGATTATACCATTTAAGAACTTCCAAATATTGACTTTGAGGCTTATTGGTCTGTTCACCATGACATATGGGTGATTTGTAGATAGTCAATGAGATTGTCATGAAATATTCTGAAAGTATAATGTTCTGCCCATCAGAGGTATAGAACCAATTCCCAGGAAGATCTGTCAAATATACAAGGTTTGTTACCTGCAGAAGACCAGGTTGAAAGCATCCAATAAAGTTGCACTCAGATATCTTCAAACTGGGAATGCGAAGTCATTATTGTTGTGTTTTTCGCAGTCAATAGTAAGCAGTTTCATTCTGTAAGTCCATTTTATCAGAAATGGTAGCCCCAAACAACAGTGGGGAAGCAGAATTAGCTCTGATCATAAAGGGATGTAGAAAAATGATATTCCTTGTGTTCCAGTTATGTGGGCAAATTACTCACTCAGAGAATTAGAACGTGAGGATTAATTTAAGAGAAAAAGAAAATCAAGTTTCCATTCATATCAACAGGACTTTGAAGGAAGCAGAGAAAAAGCTGCTGTGTTTTTGTTGTGATGATAAACAAAGGCAAAAAGTAACCAAATAAATCTGAGCTCGGAAAAGGATCTTTACTGTAAATCAACTACTCCAGGAAGGATTCTAAATATGTACATATAACATACCATATGTAATATATATTTATATGTCATTATAAATTTATTAAAATGAACATCCAGCTTTCTGACATACCAGCATCAATTCTTCAATAAATGTAAGATATTCTTTTTAAAATGAAGTCTATTTTATGCCTTAAACATATGAGTAATGAAGACTATTTTACAAAGTTCAATTTGGGTAACTTGTGTTAAGACACAAGATGCTCTGATTAATGTATTGTAATGATAGTATTTGCTTTATTATAAATCCATGACACTTTATGTGACTAACAAAGATGTAGCACACAATATTGTCTTCGCATGGCTGCGGTGAGACACACTGATAGCTGACGACAGCCCATTTGCCTGTTTTGAAAAATTTTTCCTAAAGCTCTTGTGTTGCTTGAGTTTTCCCCGACCACTGGTTCTAGAACAGAATGAAGTTAAATAGCCTAACTGTGTCTCTGTCTTCAGATGCAAGTGCAATTTTTTAAACATTTGCACTAAGCTCATCTTAAAAGCAATGAGACAAAAATGAGGAGATTAGTCATACAAAAGGCCAGAAAAATTATGTATTATGGATTAGCTAAATATTGGATTTCTTTATATTGGACTCTAATCAGTTTCAGATTGCAGTTAGTTTTATTTCTGGAAAGAGGACTGAGTGGAGCTGTTTCTTTTGTAGAGTCAGAAGCCGTGGTCGCTCCAGCAGTTCTCAGTCTGTACAATGTGGACCTCTCTGAGGAACCATCAGCAGGGCTGATCATAAATCATAGAGCTTTCTGTTTACCCTATGACTGCTCTTTAAAAACAGGATCAATGCACTTCATTGCTGAAACCTGAAAACAAGTATCTAAGGGGGGTGGGGAGAGTGGCAGAAAGACAATATTAAAAAGGTCAAACGTTAATTCACCTTGGTTCCCAGAAATATTCCTTACAAGTTTTTGATGAAAACAATTTCATAGCCCTTGATGATTACATTATAACAGGCCCACATTCAGGAACATTAAAACTAGTTACATGCTCATTTTTATTCTAAAAATTCTTAGCTTTTCTAAAGCAACATCTTCCTTTTGAAGTCCAGGGGAAAAATAAAACAACTGACCAATTTCTGGAATACAGATTCTCACATAAATACCGACTAGAAAATTTTTTCAGGAGATAGTTTTTAGCAAAAAGAAGAGTAATATCATTTCCAAGGTGCATGTTTTGTGCAGCATGAAATGTATGAAGTAAAAGAAACTAAAAGATGCATGTTTTTATTCTATTTCACTTTCTTGGCACTTGAATAACAATTATATCACAAACATTCCCTTGCAATTCATCTGTGTAAAAATCCATAAAATAACACCTTCCAGATGAAATAGAAAGAAAAAACTTTCCATTTTTATTACTTTAAAATGTATTCCTTGTCCCAGAGCCCACCATTTTCCAAAATATGTGGTTTGAAGAAATAGCATTAACAACTTCTTGCATAAAAAACTTTTATGAAAGCAAACTTTGAGTGATTTTCTGGTAAATCTAATTTATTTAAATTAGCTTTATTTAATTACACATACAGCTGTTCTGTGCCCCGAACAGGGCCCAAGAGACTATTTAAAGTGCTTAAGTCTAAATGTCATGTTTTATCACTGTGTAATATGTAGCAAACTACAGCAAAAAAATTTCACTGTTCACTGGGTAGTACTTCCAGAATACAGCATTATTTTCCTTGTTTGTTTTAATCTTCTATATAGTAGTTATAAAATTACAAGTTAAATGTAAGTAGAACTGACATTCATGCCATAATTCAGGTTATAGTTATTTCCTTGTTGAGAAGGGACTCATTTTGGTAGCTTTAATTACAATCTATATCTAGAGTTTCCAAGATCCATATCATATTTCTATTTAGTTTCAAGACCCCTACACCCAGTGTCATCACCTTAAATAATCCACAAATCCAAAGAAAATTCATTATATTTATTTCAACCAATACATCTTGTGGTATTCCAACATCATCAAATTGGCTCCACTGAACATTGGGCCTACTGATTCTTGAATGATTTGGGGGACAAAATGGGTAAGAGTTGACATCACTTCTGTTCTCATGGAATGAACTAAAAGCTGTATTACAGCTTACCACATTCAAGAGAACTTGGACTTGAGTCAGATAAATTGAATTTGAATCACAGCCTTACTATTATTGACCCAGTAATTTTGTGCAAATCATTTTTGGAAGTGGTTTACTCAAATATGATCAAACTTCCCAATGATATCTAGAAAATCCAAGAAGAAAATATATGTGAAAATGTTATATAAGGCATAAGGATTTATGCAAATATTAGTAATTCTTAGCCTATTCCTAAAAGAAGAACCCAATGAGGAAGATAGTCCTGAAAATAGAATAAGCCACCTTGTTAATAAAAGAATAGTATATAAGCCTCCACTACTGAATAGTCATATAACACAAATTGGTTCCATGAAATTTCATAAGAACTTAACCAATTCCTATGCTAACTAACAATGTAGAAAACAAAATAACTCATGAGCCAGGTAAAGCCAAGCATTTCATGTACAGAAATCTTTAGAAAAGAAGGTTATGTTTCTTGGCAATGTTATAGATCTTTTATGTTAATAGAAATTAATGGGTAATTTACATTGAAATAGAGGTCAGAAGTATAACATCTCTAACTTACTTATGAAACAGTTTAGATATTGCAATAACCAAGATCAAGGTGTGACTTTTGTCAAATTTTAAAGCTTTTTTTTCGTTCAAAGGCTCTTCCAATACAATTAAATTGGAATGAGAATCTTTCATAAGTTCCACTGTATTATGCTACCCAGTCAGCCCAGGTGATTGGCTTAAATTGGCACATGAGTGGGTTGGATGGCACACATTTTATGAAGTATTATTTGCTAGCATGACTGTCTTTATATTGGAAGATTTTGTGGATCCCTCTTTATTTGATTTTAGCATGTTTCAGTATCCCCAGAAGTAGTGAAAAAGTTTTATTTCCTAATGGCATTGAACCATATCACTCCTGTAGTAAATCTACAAGCCACATACATAAGCAGTCACTGGTCTTTTCCACTTTGAAAGAGTGGCTAATGAGAATGTCAGAGGAAATTTTTAATCTTCTTTTCCTCTCAAAAAGCAATTCAAAGTCACCTGTGCCATGCATTCAAATGCTTGTCTCCTACACACCCAAAACACTGCCAACTTCCAATCTTCATTGCACTGTCATTGAATTTGTTTGTATGGGTTATATCATCTCCTGCCCCAACCTTTATTCCCCCCAAAATTTGAGGGCCGAGAGTTTTATCTGCTTATCACATTATGTCAGTCTTTTGCAAACAAGCTGTAGCAGGTACCTGATAATCTTGGGGATAATTACTCTTACAGTAATTTGCAACACTAATGATACTTTCCCAGTTTTTTTATGGTGCAAGTGTTTTATGCTTTATTAATTTGCACTTGGTCTTTTCTTTGGTATTTTTCCTCATCTGAGAGTTTTACAGGTCTACTGCTTGTACTGTTCCCATGAAGAATATTTCCACTCTGAAAGAAGGAAAATGATTATGGTTATACTGAAAAGGCCAGATGCTGCCCTTTATAGGAAAAAATATATTATAAAACTTGGCTTTGTGTCTTTCCAGAATAGGAGGGTAAGTAATAAGTAATGGGAAACTGGTTAAGGAGTTTGTGCCTTAGGTGTATGTACCAATCAGGATATCTACAGTAGGCTGGTGTGCATTTTAGGAATTCTATCAGAGGAGGGGATTAAGTACCTTCAGTGCTAAGTCCTGTGCAAGGTTCAAATTTTCTAGGGAGAGAATAGTCAAGACAAGTTAACACATCCACATAAGATGAAGTTGCTAGAACTATTTTCTTCTGCTATATCTTTGCCTTTTCAAGATTGTGATATCAAATAAAATCATACAATATATTGTCTTAGGAGTCTGGCTTGTTCACTTAGAAATATACTCTTAGGAGTCATTCATTGTTACATGACTCAGCAATTTGTTTCTTTATATTATTGAGTAGTATTTTGTTGATTGATGAATCATGGATTTTTAAATCATTTGTTAAAGGACTTAATGGCTGTTTACAGTTATTTTTGTAATTATGAATAAAGATGCTGTAAGTATTTACGTACAGGTTGGATAAACATGAGTTTTCATTCCCCTGAGATAAAATCTAGAAGTAGAATCATTAGGTCATATGCTAAGTGCATGTGCATCCTATCAAGAAACTGCCAAAATCTTTTCCAAAGGGATTGTATTATCTAATTTTCTTATGACAAAGAACAGAAATTACTACTGCTCTGTATCTTCACCAGCATTTGGAAATTAAAACCCTATTTAGTCATTTCTATGGATGTATAGCAGTATCTCATGGTTTTAATTAGTATTTCTCTATAAAAGGCTAATGATATGGAGTACATTTTCATATATGTATTTGCCATCTCTTTATTTTTCATGTGAAGTCTGTTTAGATCTTTTTCACATTGTCGGTTTTTCATTTACTTATTGTTGAGTTCTAGGGTTCTTTTTATATTCTGGATCAAGTCCATGCAAGTTTGTAATAGTTTCTTCATGAATGTGGCTTATCTTTTCATTTTTTCCATGTCTTTCATAGAGAAAAACTTTTAATTTGGATACAGTCCAATTTATCAATTTTTTATGGTTTGTAATTTTGGAGTAATATTTAAAAATTTATCCTCAAACACAAGTCCATGAGTTTTATAGCTTTATACTATGTGTTAATTTTAATATCAATTTTTAGTTTTTGTGCATTCTATGATATTTGTGTTGATTTATTTTTGCACATTTGAATGTATTTTTCTGGCACCACTTGCTTAAAGAATTTTCCTTTTTCCATTGAATTGTCTTAGCACCTTTGTCAAACATCAGTTGACTGTGTTTGTATTGGTCTATTTCTAGACTCTATTCCAAAAATTGTCCTGTTTAGCTTTTGTCAAAATAACTTTGTCAAAATTATTTCAATTACTGCACATTATGATAAGTCTTAAAATCAGTCAACAATTGCAGGTTCTCTGATATTGTACTTCTTAGAATTATTTTTGCTACTTGAATTCCTTTGCCATTCCATGTAAATTTTAGAATTAGTTTATTATTATCTTCAAAAAAAAGGTTTACTGGTATTTTGGTTCCTATTGAGTTGAATCTATAGATCAAGTCAGGAAGAAATAATGTCAACAATATTGAGTCTTTCAATCTGTGAACATAATGTGTCTCCATTTATGAGGCATATATATCTACATATGAAATTTTATTTACTTATTTTTATTTATTTAAAAGGCAGAACAAAAGAGTGAGGGGGAAGAGATGGAGAGAGAGAGAGAGAAGCCAAAAGCCCAGGACTCAATCTGTGTCTCCCCTATAAGTGATTGGCGAGAACCCAAATACTGAGCCAATTACTGCTCTCTCCAGGGTGCATTAACAGGAAACTGGAAGCAGTATAGGAAGCAGAGCAGGGATTTGAACTGGGCCACTCTGATACTGGAAACAGATATCATAATTGTCCCTATGTCTGCATTTGTATGCACTTTTAATTTTTTTCATTAGTGTTCTGTAGCTATACAGATTTTGTACATGTTTTATTAGATATATCACTGTTTCTGTTTTATCATGAATGGGGCTGATTTTCAGACTACAAATTCTAAATATTTATGGTATGTATGCACAAAATTGGCATTTGCTTACTGTCTTGCTATCTCAAGATTTTTCTGAAATCATTTCTGAGTTCTTGTATTTTTTTTTTTTGTATTTGGGGAAGTTTCTACATAGTTGTATTTTTTAAAATCCTGTTATTAGTCTGAAAATTCATAATTTCCAAAGTGTATTCATGTAAAGGAACCAACCCCTCTAGTCACTTCACTTATAGCATCTGTATCTGTGTTCATCACCCTATAATATAGTCATGTATACATTTTTCTCCTCTGCTTGAGTATCCTATCTCTGTTGGTGTTCCAAGAACCTATTGAAGTTCCAGATACATATGGTATGGACAAAAGAATGAAGAGAAGAAGTCAAAGCAGAAAAGAGAAGGAGAAAGAAGGAGGAAAAAGAAGGAGTAGAGAGAAGGGGAAGAAGTCGAGGAAAGCAAATTAGGTCACAAATTAGATGTACAAATTCCTAAGCAGACATAGATTACATTCTTTACATTGCCAACTTACTAATATTCCACAGACACCTCAGGAAAGAGGGGAATAGAGCATGAAACTTGGCAATTGAATTCTCCATCTTTTCTAGTCTAAACCATTTCATTCAGGCAACTTAATGTGTCTGGGTAAATGTTGCATCTTTCAGATGTTGCTCCCTATCTGCCCCTTCCCAGACATTTGGGTGATGGTGTTACACATAGGACTTTATGCTAGTTGTGGAGGGGAGCCAGGGCTCTAAACAGCGAGTTTATGCTGTGGTTGTTCATCTCCTCCCAATGTCCCATGGCTGCTGCTGGTGGCTAGTCTGCTGGCAACAACTACAGTTTTGACTTGAAGTCTGCAGCTCGTGATCTGAAGTCTGGACCTTCTCTTGGCATGGTCAGGGGCTGGGGCTCTCCTTTCACTCAAGCCACGCCCAGCTCCTGCGGGCCCTGAACACTGCTCTAATTTCCAGTAACATTCTCTTTCTGGCCTCTTGCTTAGGAATTTTGCACCCCAGAATCTCTGTAGAGGCTACCCCACTCTTGCACAAGCTTGCTTGAGGCAAGGTCCACTGCCTCAGTCATCACTTTCCTCACCACCACGGGGTGAGTAGTGGGACACCTGGATTCTTTCCTACTATGCAGGAGCCAAGGTGGACCCCAGAATACTACTGTCTACCTAATAAGCTACAGCATAGATCTATCCAGCATGATGGCCTCTTCTGCAGGTTGAATGAGAGCACATTTGTATGGTTCCACTTGATCCTATATATGACATTTTGGAACTAGAGAAGTTGATTTCAGAATGGAGTTGATATTTCCCACTATACTGGGTATTTTTAAGTTCTTTGGCAACACAAAACACCTCTTTGTTTTAGGCTGACACGAAGGAGTAAAACCAAACTGTTGAAGTGAAATGGACACTATGAGAAACAGTGACTTGATCAGCCCTTGCCCTGAATGTTGATGAACAACTTAATACTTTATCCCTCCTAGTATTTTTTTTGTTTGTTCTGCTTAATACTATTGATTGATTCGTATAATCCAGGTATTCTAGTTTGACCTTAACTGAAACTGATCCCTGTTCAATATACGAGTGGATAAGAGAGGAGCTACTACATTTGGGACATGCTCAGCTGACTTCACAACAGTAGAGTTAGAACATGCAGGGGATTCCATTCAATTCATCCCATCAAGGTGGCAGGTACCAATGGCATCTCACTAGTCCAAGTGATCAATTTTTGTTCACAATTGATCATAATTATAGGTCTAATAGCCAAAGGGAGCACATAAACAAGACTAGTGTCTGCGAATACTAACCAATAGAATGAAAAAGGGAGAGAATGATCCAACATGGGAAGCAGGATACACAGCAGGCTCATAGAATGGCAGATGTCCTAAACAGCACTCTGGCCTCAGAATCAGCCCTAAAGGCATTCCAATCTGGCTGAAAAGCTCATGAGAGTATTTCAGGCATGGAAAGCCAAGACACTCTGGCAAAAAAAAAAAAAAAAAAAAAAACCAAATGAAAGATCTCTGTGAGTGAGATCCCAGTGGAAAGAACAGGTCGTCAAAGAAGGAGGTACCTTTCTCTGAAGGGAGGAGAGAACTTCCACTTTGACTATGACCTTGTCTAAATATGATCAGAGTTGGTGAATTCAAAAGGCTTCCATAACCTTGCCAACTCATGACAAGAGCCTAGGGTGATTACTGACACCATAAACAAGAGTGTCAATTTGCTAAGTCAACAACAGGAGTCACTGTACACTTACTCCTCATTTGGGATCTCTGCCCTTAGTGTGCTGTACATTGTGATTTAATGTTATAACTAGTACTCAAACAGTATTTTTCACTTTGTGTTTCTGTGTGGATGCAAACTGTTGAAATCTTTACTTAATGTATGCTAAACTGATGTTCTGTATATAAAGAGAATTGAAAATGAATCTTGATGTGAATGAAAGGGGAGAGGGAGCGGGAGAGGGGATGGTTGCGGGTGGGAGGGAAGTTATGGGGGGGAAGCCATTGTAATCCATAAGCTGTACTTTGGAAATTTATATTCATTAAATAAAAGTTAAAAAAAATGGAAATACAATCTAACATGATAGTGGCAATTATTCAACTAATCAAGCAATTGAAATATATAACTAATTCCCCCTTGTATTGTGAATATTATTTCAGTTATATATATGGGAGAGCCTAATGAGAATTGTGAGTTTTTCCTTTACTTCCTGTATTGGATTTTAAATTGATCCACTTTCACAGTTTTATAAAACACTCTACCTTTACCATGTCTTGCTATAGCTAATGACCCCACTGGGTGGCATTCCAGATTATAAAAATCAGTAGTCTCCAGTCTCTGAATTTAATTTACAGATTTTTTCAAATTATTAAAAATGTAAAAGAATGGCATTTAAATATGTGTGTTATACTTTATAGGAAATATTATAAAAATGTGTATATATATTCCAGCAGCTTAGTCACTGCATTTCTCATCACACTGTATGAGGTATAAGAATGATCCCGTATTTTAGCATAGCCTCTGTAACCTATTAGTCTAAACTTAAAAAAGCCATGAAAATTTTTCTAAAACATGTTCACCTTAGTCCTTTAGCCTTTAAGATGCGGTTTTCCAGGCTTCTTGCTTTTTAATTGCAGAGGTGGTTCCTCTCTGTTCAAGAACTTTCAAATGATATGCATCATTCCTTTTAAGTATAGCCTTGCACATTAAATTTGTGTTTCTGTGAAATTTTTCTAAGCTTCCCTGGTTGCATTTAATTAGGACATTAGACTATTCTAATCAGTGCAACTCCTTTTTCACAAGTTGCTATCTTTTCCTTGCAAATAAAGAAATGCCTTCGTTCCGTGTGTTTCCACATAAGCTCACAGCTATAACAGGGGAGTAAGTGTGATTTCACTTGAGAAGGGGCCCATGGAAAGCTCAAGAGCAGCACTGGTTTCATCACTGCTAATTAGATTCAGCCCAGAAGTAATCACCCACTGACTCCAGTTGCAATGCAGTCGCAGTGTTGTAATTTGGGGGAGATTTCTGGAGAGCAGGTGGCTGACTTGGCCTAGTTTAGATCTTGTGATTCTAAAACTGGAAAAGGCCACATCATTTATTGCAGTACTTCTGGTGCATGCTGTGTTCCCCCTGTAGTTTACAAGGCAGTTTTAGGTAGTACAGGATCGAACATCTTGATCATCATTACATAATCACCCTGAGTGACACTAAGACGAGGAAAGAAGAAAGGAGTAAGAAGAAAGAAGAGGTGAGCAAGGGGCAGAATGGAGGCCAGGAGACTCATCTAGAGCTCAGGAAGAGGCGTAGCCTTGCAGGAGTGTGGTGGTTATGGGCTTTAAATGTGTGGTAGTGTGTGTCTGTGGAGGGGGCTGGTGAACAAAGTGCCAGATGTGGCGATGGGCTCCAGGGATTCATGTTGACTTCTGTGTTCTTTCACGACACTTGAGGTCTCCTGCTCGAGGACAGCACTCCAGTGAAGACAATCTACTGAGAATAGAGGAAGAGAATACTTCGAGACACGTCGTGGATTCAGAAACAAGCAAGAAAGCTTGCAGAGACAGAGGAACAGGTAATGCAATCAAGAGTGGGGGAGTTGGCATTTCCAGTCCGTGTTTAACAAGGGACAAGGAGATATTGTGAGCAAAGGTGCACAAGAATATGGTGACCAGAATTCTGGCCTGGAAGCTGGAACCCTGACATTGTCCTCCTGATGTGCAACACAACCACTCTGAAATTTGAGGCAAAAGAAAAGTTAAATAAGTAGCAGTATAATGTAGCCAGTATCCCCTTGAATCCTGGAACTGGCTGGTCTGGGTTGATATTCAGGTTTTATCATGTACTTGCTGTAAAATCTTGGTGAAGTTAATCAGCTTTTCTGTGCTTCTATTTCTGCATCCATTTTATGGAAAATACAGTGGTGCCAACATCGATGTTGGTGTGAAGATTAAAGGAGTTCATATATATAGAGAGAGGTTACATAAATATATATGTATACATGTATATAAATATATACATATACATATCATTTTATATACATATATATACATATACATATCTTTTTTAAAGATTATTTATTTGAAAGAGTTAGAGAAGTAGAGACAGAGAGAGAGGTCTTCCATCTGCTGGTTTACTCCCCAAATGGCTGCAACTTCTGGAAGCCAATCTGAAATCAGGAGCCAGGAGCTTCTTCCAGGTCTCCCACGTGGGTGCAGGATTCCAAGCAGTTGGGCTATCCTCTGCTGCTTTTCCAGGCTCATTATCAGGGAACTAAAAAAATCAGAAGCGGAGCAGCCGGGCCTCGAACGGACACCCATATGGAATGCTGGCACTGCAATCCGGGATCTTAACCCTCTGTGCCACCACACCGGTCCCTATGTATGATTCTTAGAAAAGTGGCTGACAAATGGTGTGTGTTGTTTCACATTTCTGTGTGGTTATGATAAAACTGATTACAAAGTTTGATTTCAAAGTGACTGGGATGGAAACGCACCTCCAGATAACTTTGCAATGGAAAGATAGACGAATAGCACAAGTTGCTCAAGTGCTCAGTGACAGAATAAGGGTTGTATTCAGGTTTGCTTGCCTGTCGCTCTCATCTTCTAATGTCCTCTGTGTGTTTTGCATCAGTGTTGACCTTGTCAGTCTCGAGCAGGCACAATGAAGCATTGCTGCAACATGCCCTTTATGGTAAAGGAGAAGCCTGTGTGTGAGTGGAGGTACAGCATCCTAGACAGGAAAAATGCAAACATAACTATTTTATTCAAGAATCTTAGGTCTTTTTTATTATGTGAAGTACAGATATTCTTATAGCCTCTGATTTTAGAAGAAATGGAAAAGAGTGAATGGATAGCTAGCCAATCAGTAAAATGAGAGTGTTTTCAAAATTTCATGGAAAATGCATATTACAAGAAAACTTTTCATGGATTTCATTTTTTACACCAAAATAAACTTAGCTTTTAATTCTATTTTCCATGAACTTTTTGAAGTCCCTTTGTGCAGACAGCAACAGGGGGTGTCTCTTTTCCCGGCAGCATATAACTTTGCAGTGTGGACAACACTGCCAAGAATCCATGATTCTTACAGGTTTGTTCCTTAATTCTCATGGATTTACAAGTCAGAACTCTTCATTGCCGTGTTAACCACTGGACCACGCGTCTTCCTTTAACCTTTTCTTGTTAATCATTAAGCCTATTAATAAATTACCTCCTTTAATTTTTCATTTTAACAGAGAGAGAGAAGTCTTGAAAGAGTGAAAACTAGATCTCTAGAATCTCTCCTAATAGGTCACTTTTTTAAGGCAATGAAAATATGAACCTCTGTCTTATGGGGGTGTGTGGTTCCTTAAATGAGTACAGTAATTGTGCCTTTGTTAGGAGCTGCTTAAAAGCTTTCAAGAAAATACAATTTGAAATAATGCTGATTAGACACCTTCCCATGAAAGAAATAATAGAAAGAGATCAAGTGATAAATGAAATGAATGTTGCACCATCGAAACAAATGGTGATAAATGAAAGGCTGGAGCTGCTGCTTACATGGGCACTTCTGTCGCTGGTCAGTGCCATTTGTAATTGTGCTTTAGTGTTTTGCAAACCAGTCATTTCACTGATGCAAACAGTAACATTGAAGTGATAAATTAAGGAGAAGCAGGCTGGCTGATCAGCAGATCGGCAGTGATGCAGCTCAAATGAAGAGGAAGCCATTCTGTTTCCTTCACATGTTGATCATCAAGAAATGGACAGATAATTTGGTTTGAAGGGCAATTTGCCAAATAGGTAACCACGCATGTTTTTTAATAATTCTTGTATCTCCTTTACTTCTTTTTAAAGTAAATTTTCCTTTTATTTTAGTCCACTTTTAAATAATCTACCTTTTAATAAAATTTCCCACCTGCATCAGAAGCTCAGCACCAACAGTCATAATCACGCGTAGTAATGGGAACTCCTCAGCTTATTCTCTTTGTGTAAGTTAAGAGAATTTTAAAGGCCAGCGCCGCGGCTCACTAGGCTAATCCTCCGCCTAGCGGCGCCGGCACACCGGGTTCTAGTCCCGGTTGGGGCGCCGGATTCTGTCCCGGTTGCACCTCTTCCAGGCCAGCTCTCTGCTGTGGCCAGGGAGTGCAGTGGAGGATGGCCCAGGTGCTTGGGCCCTGCACCCCATGGGAGACCAGGAAAAGCACCTGGCTCCTGGCTCCTGCCATCGGATCAGCGCAGTGCGCCGGCCACAGCGCGCCGACCGCGGCGGCCATTGGAGGGTGAACCAACGGCAAAGGGAAGACCTTTCTCTCTGTCTCTCTCTCACTGTCCACTCTGCCTGTCAAAAAAAAAAAAAAAAAAAAAAAAAGAATTTTAAGCCAGTTGTTGGAGATGTAATGAGAATGTGAAAGAAACTGAAAGAAAAATGTAACAAAAGGATTTGATGATTTGGAATTTTTTTTTTTTTTTTTTTTGACAGGCAGAGTGGACAGTGAGAGAGAGAGAGACAGAGAGAAAGGTCTTCCTTTGCCGTTGGTTCACCCTCCAATGGCCGCCGCGGCCGGCGCGTGCTGATCCGAAGCCAGGAGCCAGGTGCTTCTCCTGGTCTCCCATGTGGGTGCAGGGCCCAAGCACTTGGGCCATCCTCCACTGCACTCCCTGGCCACAGCAGAGAGCTGGCCTGGAAGAGGAGCAACCGGGACAGAATCCGGCACCCCGACAGGGACTAGAACCTGGTGTGCTGGCGCCGCAAGGTGGAGGATTAGCCTATTGAGCCACGGCGCCGGCTGATGATTTGGAATTTAATTATTGATTTGAATAACTCAGTCCCATCTGTTTTCTTTCCTATCTAACTCACCAATTTCTATGTTATTCCAATTTTCAACTTGGAAGTCGCTTATCCCACATAATTCCCTAATCTATCTAGAATGAATTGAATGGCCTATCAGTTTGCCCCTATAGTCTTAGGTCACAACCATAGTTGTAGCATTTAGCTCACTCCCTATCATGGTCAATTTGCTTTCCTGTCTCCCAGTTATCACCTTAAAGCAGGGACAAACTTAGGTTCACTTTGTATCCCCATCACTTAGCATATAGAAAGTGCCCTACATAAGAATGCTTTGTATATTTGGAGATGAGAGCAATTTTGTTTAGCATGTAATCTGTCTACAGTATGAGAAGTGTAGATCTCTATTCAATCAGCCTTGTGGGTGACTGATTTGGAAGTCCATAGGTAACAAATTCTTAGGTTAAGGGATAAGAGTATTTATTGATTTCTCTTGTCCATGTTTACTTTTTAAAAAATATTTATTTATTTATTTATTTGAAAGTCAAAGTTATACAGAGAGAGGAAAGACAGAGAGAGGAAAGGCAGAGAGAGAGAGGTCTTCCATCCACTGGTTCACTCCCCAGTTGGCTGCAACGGCTTGAGCTGCACTCATCCGAAGCCAGGAGCCAGGAGCCAGGACCTTCTTCTGGGTCTCCCATGTGGGTGCAGGGGCCCAAGGACTTGCGCCATCTTCTACTGTTTTCCCAGGCCATAGCAGAGAGCTGGATTGAAAGTGGAGCAGCTGGTCTCAAACCAGTGCCCATATGGGATGCTGGCGCTTCAGGCCAGGGCATTAACCCACTGTGCCACAGTGCCAGCCCTCCATGTTTACTTTTTTTTTATTTATTTTTTGACAGGCAGAGTTAGACGGTGAGAGAGAGAGAGAGAAAGGTCTTCCTTTTCCGTTGGTTCACCCCCAAAATGGCTGCTACGGCCAGCGCACCATGCCGATCCAAAGCCAGGAGCCAAGTGCTTCTCCTGGTCTCCCATGCGGGTACAGGGCCCTAGCACTTGGGCCATCCTCCACTGTACTCCCGGGCCACAGCAGAGAGCTGGACTGGAAGAGGAGCAACCAGGACAGAATCTGGCACCCTGACCGGGACTAGAACCTGGGGTGCCAGCGCCGCAGGCGGAGGATTAGCCTAGTGAGCCATGGCGCAAGCCTAAAATTTTCTTTTCAAATGATTCTCTTCCACAAGATAATAAAACTATATTTTACTATTTGTTAACATGCATTTGTGAACTTTCAATGACAGGAAGCAGGGAATTTGAGCCAAGGAAATGATTTTTACCTGTCCTCTTAGCTTGTGCAGAATTTAGATTGTGAGGTGATGGGGAACTAAATGGTGGTGACTATATTGGGAGAGTTATGACTTCTTTATGCTTACTTTTGGGAAAACAAAGCAAAACACAATGTAACAATGAGAATAGCTTAATCCAATGTTAACCTGGAGTCTCAGTTGGTTTTGTACTTGTTTTTCCTTTGGGAAATTAAAAAAAAAAAATGCCTCTAACTTGAACCCATGTTCTATTTCTCTGTGAATTGAATAAGGACCACAGATAAATTTTTTCCTTTTGACTATGCCTCATATCAAAACCTTCACAATTACTTGAATTGGCAACTCCCAGGCCTTGATAAGACCATTTGTGTTTTTCACAAATTTATATTTTTTTCAATTTTATTTGTTGACAAATATTTACTGAATACATCTAAAGGTAAAACATAGTCTCTGTCCCCAAAGGAGCTTACTCTATTCTTGTTACTGAGAT